GCCTGAGGCCCACACCTCCGTCCTGGGGCCAGCCTGAGGCCCACACCTCCGTCCTGGGGCCAGCCTGAGGCCCACACCTCCGTCCTGGGGCCAGCGCCAGGGCCAGCCTGAGTCCCCTGTGCTCCCTTTGCAGGCTGTGCTCTGAATGACTCCCCTGTAGGCCTGGCTGCTTACATCCTGGAGAAGTTCTCCACCTGGACAGACTCGAGCTTCCGAGGCCTGGAGGATGGCGGCCTGGAGAGGTGAGCCCGCAGCCTGACTTCAGGACCCGTCCCGTGCCCTTGCCCCATCTCTGTCTGCACTCAGTGGGGTGAGGTCCCTGCCCCTGCCGCAGGCCCTGCCCCGGGGCTGGGCGGGTGCCTCAGGCCTGTGGTCCTCGTTGTCTATGTTTGAGGCCAGCCCTGGCCAAAAAAGTGCCCGGGACGCCATCTTAACCCGTGGCTGGGTGCGGGGTGCCCTCCTGTTATCCTAGTTGCCCAAAAAAGCACAATGGCTGGGCACCGTGCCCAGAGGCTGGGGAAGCCGGGACAGGATTGTAGCCCAGAGGTAAACCAAGCCTCCCCTTGAGAGGGCCAGAGCACCTGCTTAGCAAGCCTGAGGCTCTGAGTTCGAACTCAGGGGCCGCGGAGGGGAGGTACGGGTGGGTGAGGGACCCTAAGCTCCCGGCCAGGAAGGGAGGCAGGGAGGGTTCAGGACTGGGCGGGGCCTTCAGGGGAGGAGCCCAGGGGAGGGAGGGCGTGGTCACTCGAAGTGGAGCCGTCCCTCATCCCTTCCCTCCGAGGTCCTGACGGTGCAGGAACAGCGGCCAAGTCCAAGTCCTTTTTAATGTCATTCTCCAGACTATGAGAGCCGCTCAGTGCCAACCGAACCATTTAAATACGCCTGTGAGCGCCAGGCTCCCACCACCACCCACCACACAACCCGTCCCTGGGGTAGAGCCGGGCCAGGCCCCGTCCGGGGCGGTCCTGGGCCACAGGGACCCCGGTTTCCGGTGGGTGCAGGCCAGGAAACGCCACTTTGTCAGCTAGGACAGGAGAGGAAGAGGGGCGTCCCCAGGAGTGAGCGTGAGGCTCTTCCGCACTGTGGCACTTGAGCGAGTGTGCACAGACGGATGTGGGTGTGCACTGGTCAAATGTGGCCACCCACAGGGTGCTAGTGTGAGCGCAGGTGCAGATGGGGTGGGTGCGCACAGGGGTGGTAGGCACATGCCGGGGTGTGAGCACGCCTGGTGTGAGCGATGGGTGGGTGTGCGCCGGGCACTGGGAGAATCCACAATTGCCGGCTTCCTGGGTCTCATCAGCAAAATGGCTGAGGCCAGAACCTGGGCAGGGCCGTCTGGCCTCTGCCATGGGCACAGGCCTGAGACCTAGAGACGCGGCCTGACCCGCCCCTGGGACCGGCCTGGCCCCGCCCCTGGGACCGGCCTGGCCCCGCCCCTGAGTGGTGGTAAGGAGCAGCGTGCCCTCCCCGTGGGCTGCGGCCGAGTCCAGGAACGCTGGCCGCACGGGCGCAGCTCAGGGCCCGCGTCTGCTGCCTCCTCTTGTGTGGGCACCCTGCCAACCAGAGAGGCTTCTCCCTGCTGCCTTCCCAGGAAGTTCACCCTGGACGAGCTGCTGACCAACATCATGCTGTACTGGACCACGGGCTCCATCGTCTCCTCCCAGCGCTTCTACAAGGAGAACTTGGGCCAGGGCCTGATGGCCCACAAGCACGAGCGGTGAGCCTGGCGGGGGGCGCAGGGGTGGGGCATCCGAGGCCGTGTGATAGCACAATGAGCTGGGGAGGCCAGGCGTGGCCTGTGTCCCTCAGGGCTGCCCGGGGCCAGGCGTGGCCCTGGCCTGACCCTTGCTGTCCCCTGGGGGGGCGGGGGGTGCAGTGAGGCTGGGAGCCCCCTGAAGAGGACTCGGGGCGCGGGAGGCCGGAGCCTGGTGTCTGCCCTGGCTGGGGGAGGAGGGCAGGCACAGCTTCGCCCTGGCAAACCCTGGCCCTTCCAGGATGAAGGTCTTCGTGCCCACCGGCTTTGCTGCCTTCCCTTCTGAGCTGCTGCACCTCCCTGAGAAGTGGGTGAGGGCCAAGTACCCCAGACTCCTCTCCTACTCCTACATGGCGTCCGGGGGCCACTTCGCCGCCTTCGAGGAGCCCAGGCTGCTCGCCCAGGACATCCGCAAGTTCGTGGCAATGGTGGGTCGGCAGTGACAGCCATGGCCGGTCGGCCTCAGGGGCCCTGCCCAGCCCGGCCCAGCCCTGCCCGCTCGCCCGCAGCTGCTTAGAGAGGAGAAGCCTGAGGAATGAGCTCCGGTCCCTCCCCCGCCCAGCCTGTGCTCAGCTTTGGTAATAAATCATCTCACTTCTATGAGCAGCTTCCAGCAAAGTGATGGCCGTGGTGCCCAACAGCCCTGGGGTCTGGGCCTGCAGAGCGCAGGCCGGGCCTGTCCCGGAGGCCGCAGGGCGGGGGCCGGGCCCCAAGGGGCTGCCAGCTCGGGCCCTCCACGACAGCGGTGGAGGACCAGCTGGCTCAAGAAAGCACAGCACAGCACAGCAGGCCCAGGCGGAGCCCAGGGGTGGGCCGGGCCGGGCCTCCATCCTGGGTGCAGCCCGCTGGAGGAAGCTGCAGGGCACGGGATTGGGGCTGGGGTGGAACGGAGGCGGGAGGCTGCACACCAGGCCGGCTCAACAGACACTTTATTATCCCTGCCCGCCCCGGTCCGGCCGCGGCGCAGGGGGTGCACCCCGCCCTGCTGGGCCCGGCCCCAGGCTGCAGCCCTGAGCTGCGCACGCGTGCCGCGCCTGTGCGCCTGTGCGTGAGCCTGTGCAGCCGCCCACTGCAGCACCGCGCCTCGTGCACACACACCCATCGTCCACAGGGTCCCAGAGAGCCCCACAGCAGGGGGGGAGAGCACCGCGCCTCCCCTGACAAAACAGAGGCTTAGCTGCGGCCCCGCCCCCACCCCGGCCATGGGCTGAGCAGCATGCAGGCGGCACGCATGTGGACAGGCCCGGCCCGGCGCGCCACAGCCTCAGGCCTCCTGGTAGGCACCTGCCGCGCGGCTCTCGGGGCTGTGGGCCGAGCACTGCCCAGGGAGCGGCCCTCCGACGCTGTGGACAGCACCATGCCCGGGCAGCACCCCGTCATTGCAGACGGCGCCGTAGGTCTGCGGCTGATGCAGAGACAGCGCTGTCTTCTCCGAGGCCAAACTGTTCAGGATGCGGGGCAGGTAGGGCTGCAGCACACACAGCGTTAGTGCGGGGAACAAGCACCCAGCCCGCTCACCGCCTCCCCCACCAATCCGAGAACAGACCCCACCATACCATCACACACAGGGACAGGGCCATCCTGTCACAGGACAGGGCCATCCTGTCACACAGGGACAGAGGACAGGGCCATCCCATCACACACAGGGGCAGGGCCATCCTGTCACAGGGACAGAGGACAGGGCCATCC